TCGGAGTCTGTGTCTCCCTCTCTCTCTGACCCTCCCCTGCTCACGCTGTCTCTCTCTCTCTCCTAGAAATAAATAAACATATTAAAAAAAAAAATCTAGAGATCCTTTATCCTGTAACCAAATGTAGGAAATGTAAAAAGTACATACTTTTAAATATAAATAGGGTATAAAAATCCTATTTTCTGGAATAATACTGTTGTAGCTATATTAGCACCAAAACCTTATTTTGGAGAAAGGAGTAATTAATGCTGGAGAAGAACAAGGGCATTTCATGGAAATGGAATTTCAGCAGCAGTTAGAATTGTTATTCTTCTTAATAATTTAGTTTTTAATTTTTTTTTCAATTAATGAAGGGAAATAAAATGTACTATTGTTAACCTTTAGCATTTCTTTTTTTTTTAATGGTTTCATTTCTTTCTGAGAGAGATAGAGAGACAGCACGAGCAGGGGAGGGTCAGAGAGAGAGGGAGATACAGAATCCGAAACAGCCTCCAGGCTCTGAGCTAGCTGTCAGCACAGAGCCCCACTTGGGGGCTTGAATCCATGAACTGTGAGATCATGACCTGAGCCGAAGTCGGACTCTTAACCTACTCAGCCACCCAGGTGCCCCAAGCATTTTTTTTTTTTAATGTTTTATTCATTTCTAGGAGAGAGAGAGAGACAGCATGAGCAGGGGAGGGTCAGAGAGAGAGGGAGTCACAGACTCTGAGACAGGCTCCAGGCTCAGAGCTGGCAGTCAGCACGGAGCCGGACGCGGGGCTCGAACCCACGAACCACGAGATCATGACCTAAGCGAAAGTCGGATGCTTAACCGGCTAAGCCAACCAGGCACCCCATTTCTTTTTCTTTTTTTTTTTTTAACACTTAGAATCTTTTTTAATGTTTATATTTGAGAGAAAGAGACAGTGAGTGAGCGAGAGAGGGGCAGAGAGAGATGGAGAGAGATGGAGACAGAATCTGAAGCAGGTACCTGGCTCTGAGCTGTCAGCACAGAGGCCGACATGGTTCCGAACCTGTGAACCACGAGATCATGACTTGAGCCAAAGTTGGATCTTTAACTGACTAAGCTACATAGCACCCCTACCTTTAGCATTTCTGAAAGAAATATGATGTGCAAAAAAATCCTAATGAAAATTATTTATTCTTGAGTGGCAATTCAAATTACTTTCTCCCATCATAGTATCTTCCTTCTATTAAATGGTGTTTTATATTTTATAAAGTATTTTTCAGTATTAACATGTTGATACAGATATTATTTTGCACTTTGCCTCTAGGGTGGTAACGTCCTCACTTAATTTCTTCTTGAGATTGCTGTATTATATAACAAAAGATGCATTGTCTGACAATAGAATGTTTACAGCGGGAATAACGACATTTACTATAAAATATGTTGTCTGAATCAATGATGGTTAAGACTTTATGTATATATTAAGTAAGAGTGTGTTTTGATACTCCTTAAGTTTATTCTGACTCAAAAAAAGTATTCAGTTAATAAAAAAGGTTTTCTTTTTAGCTAAGATTCCTAAGTTCCGTGGAATCTTCCTCTGAAGGTTTTTCCTTCAAAGATCTGGAAAGTAGCTTGTTAGACAAAATGGTCTTTAAAGGATTTCATACTTACAAAACTAAGTTTTGATTTTTACATTTGGGCATGTATAAACCTTAACCTTAATAACCTATGATTTCTACCAGCAGAGATATGCTAAAATTAATTGCCAAAACAGGGTTAGTTGTAAACATAGGTGTGAGTAAGGTACGTCGCCATCTTCTTTGCTCCAGGCAGAATGATTCCTAGAACTAGGTAGGATTTAGCTTTCATTGCTCACATCTCTGGAATTTACTTTTCCTGGTTTGCCAAAATAAGGCAAAACAAAAGCGCACAATTTTCTCTCTTTTTGCAACTATTTTTAAGTGAAAGTACCATGCGTTTGTATTCTTACTCTCATTCATTTTTTAACACATGAAAAGCCAGTTTAATTTTGTAGTAGTGCCTGTTAGTCACGTGAACTCCCTACAAAATCTGCATTTGCACTGATTCACACATCACTCACAGGACAAGTTCCCACAAAGACCTGTTTTGTTCTACTGTCCGATCCACCCTGAAGAAACCAGTTGCCCAGCTATGTGCAGCTTTGTGAGTCAAGATGAACTGCGCAGAAACTGGGTACAGAGACAGAGAAACCAAAGAATGCTCCCTAGTTAACAAGCAGAGTGTGTTATATATAATAAAATTGCAATAACAAAATGTTTTGCATTTTAAGAATAATCCAGTTGGAAAGTTCCTATCACATTCATATTGTAATCATAATTCAAGTCATTAGCTTGTTCCCATTACTCTTAGAATCGGGCAAATATAAATAATGCTTTTAGTAAGAAATTCTAGGCAACAGAGGGCAATGAGAGCAAATGATGAGATGCGAGCTTTAGTTTTGCGTATTCCTTAGCAAGCCTTATGTGGAATAACTACGTATCACGTTTGATAAGAAGAGGAGTTTGGTATTGGATATAGATTCCCTTCTTTCTGGCAACACTTAACAGACCACAGTAAGCAAAGAATATAGGGTCATGCAGAATTTATTTTTCCAGGGACCCTCCATCTAGGTCAGTGAGAAAGGAGTGCCCACACATGATTCATAAGAAACAGGTAAAATCAAATAAAATGTATTCACAGCTTAATTTATTATTTTTGAACATACACTTGAAATATTTTCTTTGAGTAAATGTTTTGTCAAATTACTTTACTTTCATATTTAGAACTTTAAAGAATACCAAGCAAGCACTGTTCGAAAGTTTTTTTTTTAAATTTTCCAGATGATCTTTAAACATTGCGCTTTTGACTCAGCATCAGATAACCTCCCAAAGACTGCATCTTTTGTGATGCTTTTCTTTCTCCTTTTGAGAAATTAAAAAAGGAAACAAAGGAAGCAAAGGAAACATAAAATGACCTCTTCTCCCTGGTTTCAACAATAGCCAAAGACCAGGCTTCCAGAACCAAAGTAAGTTAGAGAATTCTCAGAGGACTTAGTGAGAATTTATAGTCTATGTCCTGAATCACATGAATATGTTATAAAATATAAAACTAGTGGGGAGAACACATGATATATTTTCTTTTTTTTTCATCCTCCTAATTTCCCAACGCATTTTGAGAAGAAAATCCTAATAAAAATGAGGTTTTTGCCCCTCATAAAGCTCTTTTCCCAACACAGATATTCCCATGCACACATTTATTTTCTGTTCTGAAGAAATCAGATTAGAAATCCACTTTCTAAAACTTTTTCTCTTGATGTGAGAATACAGAAGTATTAAATTGAAGAAATAAGTGCCCTTTTGCTTCAAGCTGCTTCTCCCTGACCCTCCTTTTTCAGGTGTCATCGTCTCTGCTCACACTCCTCCAGATGGACAATTTGGGACTATAATTTCTCAGTGTACTTTCTTGTTTCCCTGTGGTAAGGTTTGAATTGTTGGAAACAGTTGTCTTAATATGACAACTAAATACGAACTTCAGCTCAGGTCATGGTCTCACAGTTTGTGAGTTCAAGCCCTGCTGTGAGTGGAGAACCTGCATCAGATTCTATGTCTCCCTCTCTTTCTGCCCCTTGCTCTCATTCTCTCTGTCTCTCTCAAAAATAAATAAAAATTAAAACACACGCACACGCGCGCGCGCGCGCACACACACACACATACTCTCACACACACACACACACACACACACACACACACACACACACATCAGAATCAGTGGGAGGACTTTCTAAAATACTCCTTCCCTGGGCATCTGGGGGGCTTAGTCAGTTAAGCTTCCAAGTTTTGATTTTGGCCCAGGTCATTGATCTCACACTTTGTGGGTACAAACCCAGCATCATGTCGGGATTCTGCACTGACATTGCAGAGTCTGATTGGTATTCTCTCTCTCTCAGGCCCTCCCCTGCTCTCTCTTACTCTCTCTCTCTCTCACAAAATAAATACATAAACTTAAAAAAATATACTCCTGGGGGCGCCTGGGTGGCTCAGTCGGTTAAGCGTCCGATTTTGGCTCAGCTTATGATCTCATGGTTCGTGGGTTCGAGCCCCACATCTAGCTCTGTGCTGACAGCTAGCTTAGAGCCTGGAGCCTGTTTCAGGTTCTGTGTCTCCCTCTCTCTCTGACCTTCCCTTGCTCACGCTGTCTCTCTCTCTCTCTCAGAAATAAATAAAACATTAAAGAAAAAAAATATATATATATATATATACACTCCTGGGGCGCCTGGGTGGCTCAGTCGGTTAAGTGTCTGACTTTGGCTCAGGTCATGATCTCGTTTTTTGTGAGTTCGAGCCCCGCATCAGGCTCTGTGCTGGCGGCTCAGAGCCTGGAGCCTGCTTTGGATTTTGTGTCTCTGCCTCTCTCTCGTGCTCTGTCTCTCAATAATAAATAAACATTGAAAAAAATAAAAAAATATATACTCCTGCCAAAAGGTTAATTCTGAGGTCCACCTCATTAAGACTCTTTGCCTTTGTAATGAACCAACTTAAGTAATGATCATAAAAATACATGGTGTAAAAAATATATATACAATATATTTATTGTATACATATTGTATGCATACGTATGCATATGTATACATATTGTAAAAGAATATATAAAAATATTGTATCTTAGAATGTTACACTTATTAAATTTAGATTACGATTTTATTATTAATTTATTTACTAATGTGTATATATTTTTGAGAGAGAGTGACAGAGCATGAGTCGGGGAGGGGCAGAGAGAGAGGGAGACAGAAAATCCCAAACAGACTCCAGGCTCGGAGCCGCCAGCACAGAGCGTGATGTGGGACTCAAACTCATAGACTGCGAGATCATGACCTGAGCCCAAGTCAGAGGATTAACTGACTAAGCCACAAAGGCACCCCATAGGTCACTATTTAAAAAAAAAAACCTTAAAGTTCTCAAGTGCCTTTTTCATGGGGTTTGCAATGCTGGCTCATAAGTAAAATTCTTAATTTGCTTTTCTGTTTGTTTTTAAGAAAATTAATGCAAAGCTTCATGATGGAGTTTGTCAGCACTGTAAAGAAGTTCTTGAATGGCGTGTAAAATACAGCAAATATAAACCATTGTCAAAGCCTAAAAAATGGTAAGTTATGTTTCTTAATTACCTTACCGACCCTATATGTACCATAGTTTATTCCTGCTTTATAAAATGGATTCTTCCTTCTCCACCCCATTCTTTTACAAGTAAATAATGTACCATTTTTATTTATTCTTGTTCATTAAAGATGGGTTAGGGAAGAGAGGCAAGAGTTTGTTTTGCAAAATTCTGTCTCCCATTAACCTGCTAATAATATTTATTGTGGATCATCTTTACTAAGGATGACCAAAGTCTTGAAAGGAGTCTGATGTTTTATTTTTATGTTTTGTTTGAGTGTATCCGACATGCAATGTTACGTTAGTTTCAGATGTACAACACAGTGATTCCACAAGTTTATGTATTATGCTGTGACTACCACAAGTGTAGCTACCGTCTGTCATCCGGGGGGTGGGGGGATATGACCTTTTAATTCTACCCACGAAGATGACTGAAATGGTTTAGATTGAGTATCAAATAAATTGCTGGATTGGATAGCCTGTGATTTCATTTCTTTGAAGATTTGGGTCCAAATGAAAAGGTCCAATGATTTGGACTTTGTTTCTCATCACTGTGTACCTCACCCTTTTTCTGTAATTCCAGGATTCTCTTTTATCAGCTTTGTACATCCCTGTGTTTTTCTCTTTTATCCTTTAGCTCAGCCGAGTGAGAACCATACTGGGGGGTAATTGTTACTGCTTAAAAGAAAAAAGTGATTATTTTAAATATAAAAATTAGCCATTAATATATGCAGTAGTGTTTTTACCCATATACTATGAGTTTTAATTTAGTAGTCATATAGTAGGTATTTGAAACACATTTGTTCCTAGTTGCTTTATTTTGCTTTTAGCAATTCTGTAGTTGTATGTTCTTGAAATGTTATTCTTTCTTCTTCCTTTATGAGAAGTTTTACTTGAAGTATGGAGGGTCAGTGTAAATAATAAATATGATATTGTTGTTTGTTTGTATTGAAAAATCATATCAGCCTTTCTGTTAATCTGTAGCTCAAGCTATAGGGTAATTGTTTTCTTAAGAATGTTTAACATTTTTGAATGTTTTAGTTTGGGCAATTCATTTTGCATAAATTGCTTCTTTTTATTACTAAGAGGTAAAAGCTTTAAGGTAGGATAGTCTAACTTCAGCTATTTAGATTTTTTTTCCCTATATTACTCTTTGAGAGCAGAATTCTTTTTTTTTTTTTTTTTTTGAGAGCAGAATTCTTGATAATTATTATGGGTGTAGTTGACCCCCTTTTAAATAGATACAGAAGTTTCTCTCTCCTCTTCTTCAGTCTTCATGGCCTGTAGCATTTTCTTCCAAAAGAAGATACTTTTAAACAAATTTGATGAGTTTTATGCTAACTGGCTCAAATTAGCAGTAGAGAAATTTGGCAACTATTTGTACTATCCAGTGGTAGATTCCCATGAATAAATTAGTTGTGTTTTCTGCTGAGTTCCCTATAGATGGTTGTACTATAAACCATGTAGTTTTAGTTGATAGGCTTATTATAATATTTGTAGCTTTTTAGGGGCACCTGGCTGGCTCAGTCGATGGAGCATGGAACTCTTGATCTCAGGGTTGTGAGTTTGAGCCCCGCGTTGGGTTGTAGAGATTATTTATTTATTTATTTTCTTAAATAGTTTATTGTCAAGTTGGTTTCCATATAACATCCAGTGCTTATCCCAACAAGTGCCCTCCCTCGTGCCCATCACCCCCCTTCCCCACTCCCCCACCCCCATCAGCCCTCAGTTTGTTCTCAGCATTCAAGAGTTGTAGAGATTACTTTTTAAAAAATCCTTAAAAAAGTGATTTCTCTAAGTGTTGGTATAACTTTGGGTACATGGCTGTCTCAGTCACTCTGATCTTGGGGTCATGAGTTTGAGCCTCATGTCGGGTATAGGAATAACTTAAGTAAATTTAAATTAACAAAGAAATCTAAAAAAAAAAGAGAATGGTTGGATGTGGACATCTAGACCCAAAGGTTAGCAACTCGGGCCTGTCTTGGAGTCATCCAAGTCAAGGAAGCCCAGATAATGTTGTCATTACCTAGGTAGTACAGTGACGCAGAGCCCTTTGAGAAACTTCAGGTGGGTCAAGAGATGAAGCCTAAGAAGACCTCAGGAGCTGCTGTTCCACATTCCCCTAAGGCAGATGAGGTTAGCCACAGAATAGCTAACGATGAATGTAAAATAAAGGGAACATAATGTTGTATAAATACCAAATTACAGATACCAAGACATTCAAGCCTAATGGAAGATCTTCAGGAATAAAGAAGCCCAAGCTAATGTAGAACAAATGATTAGTCTTAAGAGACTAAGAAACTGCTAGTTAAAACAAGGTCTGGACATGTTCCTTAGGAAGTCACTAGCATGGTCCAAAATATCTTGAATTTCAGATTACATTCAACACACAGCACATTAGGCATTTTGGAAAGCTGAGCTTTCTAACTCCAACCCAGGACGGAGAGTGTTGTAGAAGGTATAACTCACCTATATCCACGCTGCTTTCCCTACACTTTAACACTTTACCAACGTTGTAGGGGACTTAAGTCCACTGATGAAAGGCATGCATGGTAACATAATTTGTTTAGAAATTTTGAATGTTTTCTTCAAGCTAATCTCACTTAGAAGTTAAATTTGTCCTTTGTCAGGATTTATATAAGAAGTTTTCTTTGACACTGGATATGTCTTTTGTGGAAAGATTCATTTTCCAGCACCCTGAACGTTGTCATTGGTTAAAATGTTGACTATTACTTGTCTAGTTGTCTCTTGCCACAGATATGTAACCAAATGATATACATAAGGAAAAGTTCAGCAGAACATAAAATGTAAGAAGAGGGGGGCTATTTATAGGTGACGGGTCTCTTTTGGAATGAAGTAGTATTCTGAATATTGGGAAAATTGAAGCCCTTTTATCTCATTCATTATACTTGTAAATTACCAAAATCACACACAACTAGCAAATTTCCATTGACCATGCGATTGAACCCCGAATTAGACCCAAAAAAGAGTTAGACATCTAAACACTTTCAGCCAGGTTATCTATTTTGACAATGGAAGCAAAAATTGTATTATATTTGTACTTGGCAGAAAATGTTTCATGTTTCCTTTTCAGTGAGGTGACATGCTACAGGATTTTTATAAGCATATTCTTTATGACAATTTCTCCTAATTAATGAAAATGACCCTGGGACATTCCCAGAGACATTTTAGAAGAGCATAGATGTCCTCACCAGAGCTGGAAGAGGGAGGAGCTGAAACTCTGCATTTGCTGTGAGAGGGAGGGGGATAAAAATGCAGGGCGCCTGTTAGTGGGATGTGAACATACTAGAACTACCCTTTGATGTAACGTAATTTTTAACTATCATCGAATACTCAAATCTTCAGGTCTTTAAAAAATTTTTTTTTCAATGTTTTATTTATTTCTAGGAGAGAGAGAGAGAGAGACAGCGTGAGCAGGGGAGGGTCAGAGAGAGAGGGAGTCACAGACTGAAACAGGCTCCAGGCTCTGAGCTGGCAGTCAGCACAGAGCCCGACGCGGGGCTCGAACCCACAAACCGCGAGATCATGACCTAAGCGAAAGTCAGACGCTTAACCGACTAAGCCACCCAGGCGCCCCTCAAATCTTCAGGTCTTTATAGAAAAAAAATGAAACGCTCATAAAGATAATGCTCAGCTTTTTGCAACTTTTCTTCTCTGTAAAAGAGCTAAGATTAACCACCACCCTGTTTTATGCCCGTTAGTCAGAGGTCAGGGTAATTCTGTTGAAAGGATGCCCCACTCATTTTGTCTTGTATTTTGATCTGAAGACCAGTACCTCCTACTCTGTGGTGGAGGGCTTCTGTGGTACCACCAGCATCTCCCGTGATACCCAAATGGTATAATTTTTACTAGATTAAAGATTACTTATATAAGTAAGAGTTATGAGTCAGGACGAGTCTAAATCTTTTTGTATAAAACCTCATTGTTCAAGGGCCCTATTTCTGACTTTTGAAAAAGAAACCCAAAGATGAATTAAAAGCATTCATTACCATACCTGCTCAGTCCCAAATCATTCATGAATCCTATAAATAACCGTGGTGTGGAGCTGAATTATTGGAAGAGCAAGAGACCTGACAAATAATCAGTGATTTGTATAGCTCTTAAAGAAGGGGGTCTGGACATTTTTTACTTAAAATTCATTTAGTGGCATATTATTTTCCAGGTATCCTGGAAATATAGACAGGTAAAAGACTATCCCCTTCCTCAAGATAAGAAATAAAAGAGGCCCTTTTTTTTCTCCCTCCTATTTTCTGGGCTCAGAGGGATTAAATGTTTTACTCAAAATCAGAAAGTAAAGCAGACAGAGTTAAGATTCAAATGCAAATTAATTCCATTCCCAAGCCATATTTTCCTGTTCTACAGGGTTTTCTCAATCTTATATTATTCATTCAAAAAGTCCTTTTCTTCCCTTCATCTGAGCCTAATGCTATATTAATTTTTATAGTTACCTATCTTGTTTTTGGAAGTTATCCCCTGCTGAGTATGACACACAAAACATTATTTGTTTGTTTGTTTATTTATTTTTAAGTAAGCTGTATACCCAATGTGGGGCTAATTGCATGCTCTTTTAAGTGGGTCAGCCAAACATCCTTTTTTTTTTCTTTTTCTTTTTAAGTACTTGTGTCTAGACAAATAGATTTTATGCTCAGGCACTGAAAAGCCTACATTAGTACCTAGAAACTTCTTATACCTTGTCTTTCAAGTATCCAAGCAACCTTTTTCAGCTGTTAATTTAGAAGTGTTATAGGCAAATACCCGTATTTCCATTAGAATCTCTAGCCTGCTTCTTTTCTCTTCCCACGCATAAAAGTTTACCAAGAATATGGTGTGAGCTTATGCTTAAAATTACCATAATAATCAAAGAGAAAAGGAGTAGCTGGTATAAAACAACAACAGGCCCCAACAAATTGGGGTCTGAGTTGACAAGTGGACCTGTAAGTCCTCTGTATTAGCAGTTCTCAACCTGGA